AATTAATACAAAGGGCTTGTCATGACAAGGACCAAGGTATATTATTAATTTATTAAAATATATTTAAATAATTAACCTTTGAATTTTAACCCCAAAAATAACGTTCATAAATTTTTATATCCATAAACTTAATTTTTTTAAATAAAAATAAATATTTCAACCTAAATAATGCAAAATTTTGAGAGAAAGTGAGATCTAGATAGGGTGACCATAACTATTTGAGCCCTAAGGAAAACGTTTGCCATAAATATAATGTACTCATATTTGTATACTATAAAACACATAATACTAGCAAATAAGTTGAATTTTATGGGATTTATGTCCAGGAAGGACATCTCAATGTCCTCCTCAGACACCCAGAAGGACAGTGTTATGAGGGATATAAATGAGGACAAGCCTCCCAGCGAAGGACGTCCTGGTCACCCTAGATCTAGATTATTTATGTATTATTTATGATATATTACTTAAAATTTAATAGTATTGAATAATTTAGTAAATACAAGTGCTTTAAATGCTTTAATATAAAATGGTTTTGGTGATTAAATTTAAAAATTAAGTAAAACAAGAATTATCATAATAATATAAATATTAAAATTATATTTCTTTGAATTTGGTTATTATATTATTTTAACTCTATGAGTGTCTTAAAATTAGTAACAAGTATAAATTACGAAATATACACGTTCAAGCCTAATGGATTGATTTAATATGTATTAAGAAATATATAATTTTTGCCAAAAAAAGTTTGATAAAATATAAGTGTTTTTACAAATGGATTAAAATATTCCATAAAAATAAGAAAATGCAAACTAAAATGATCTTATGATTTGATAAAATAACCTTTATTATTGATTGTCAATATTAGATTAATTTATACATTTACAGTATGATTAGTTAATATTTCTATTTACCTTTGTAATTTTCATATAATAATAAGTATTTTCCCCTCTAGTATTTATCAATTGATTGTAATAATGTTGTTTGTTCAAGGTGTTTACTATTTTAAATTTTATCAATTACTAACATTACTGGTGAAATTGATAACAAAACAGGAATTATTATTATTGATATTGATAATACGAACATAAACAATATATTTTGCTCAGGGTATAAAAGGCGCAATTTTATTAACGAAATATTACAATAAAAGTTAGTTGCTCATTAATTAATAAACAGCTTGAATTTTAATATATTAGAAAAGTATAATTATATTATTTATATAATCATGCGTGTAATGATTGTTGTAATAAGTACATTATTTGTCTTGGTCACTTTTGGTAAGAACTTTAGTTAAATACCTTACTTGACATCAATTGACTTAATTAAATTAAATATTAATAAATTTTATATACTAGTTGTAATGTAATGTTTAATAATTATTGAATAATTTAAATAAATACCAATTATTATTAACACAGTAACTACAAGTAGTTTACAAACTATAATAACAATTATATGAACATAGCAAATATGTAAAATTATTTTATTTTCAATATTAGGTGACTCAATAAGTATCAAGGAAGATTTCTCGGAGACTATAGTCAAGGAGTCTACAGATGTGGAATCATTCGAGCAAGGTAATATCATTAAAATTATTATAAAAACTTATATAACATTATTGTAATTAAAGATTATTGATTTTAATATATACAATTAATATTTATATTTAACATTGCGTTATAGCCCTAAATGTGACCATGTTCAAAGTGGGGGGACGTAACTGCTGGAAGTGTTCGTACCCGTGTGCGGGCGCCACCTGTTGTG